AGAAACATGTCAAAACTCTTCCTTTCATACAAGGTCAAAATCGCTCAACACGTTGAACAAGTGGCGCTGCAGATTGTGAACGATACAGTCCACGAGGCGGTTCAGGAGGTGGTGAAGAAGTAGAGAATTGAATGACATTATGTTCATGTAGTAGACCAATAAAACAAGGGAAAATACCACGCGGTTCTAAATACCACGCGGTTCTAAACATAGTTGTTCGCTAGAGGTGAACTATGCTAATCTGGGATGATCACAACTTTAGCAATTTCGACCTCTTTCTTTTCCTCCCACTTCCTGATTAGCTTCACCAATCCAAAGTTCCACTACCGTTAACCTACTCGTACTCTAGATTCTAGAATGCGCTCTTTTTTGACCCATCGATTTGTGCATTTCGCAACTTGGCGCACGCGACTTTTCTTTGCGTTTTTTTCCTATGCGCAGTGGCGTTCGTTACACAACTGACAATTCCAATGCCCCCTGCCAGTTGCCGGCCGCACCCGATAGCGGACCGCCACCCTCACAAAGAAACTAGGCAGTAGGCACCACTTGTGATTTAAAAAAACTGACGCTCGCGAATAAGAAGAGCGTCAGTTTTTTAAGTAAAAAGACAAACACAACCTGAGGTAAGCAAAACAAATAAGCGACACCAAACGCTTCGATTCTTGATGTCATTCGGTGCAAAACGACCGATGCGGGGATTGAACCCGCGATCTCCGCCTTCGGAGGGCGGCGCATTACGACTTTGCCAATCGGCCACCCCATCTCAGAGATAACTGTAGTTTAGAGTATTTATCATGAAAGTGCAATCTCATCTCGGTTCTCTCGTTACTCCTAAATAGTCTATATCATTACATAGAGATTCTCGGAGTTATATCTTTTTGGACGATGCAAAAAGGACGCTCAATATGTGTTCTGAGTTGATGGAGGCATGTGGAATTCCGAGGACAAAGCCGGACTGAGATTCACGCCCTCCTTTCCTAAATCTACTGACAAAGAATGGTTGTCTTTCACCCTCACGGAAGCTCGAAGGGCTTGGCGCGGCACTGTAGACAACTCCCTTATGGGTGTTTATATCTACCAATCATTAATGGCACACGACAGCACGACACTTGTAAATGCACGGTACTGACGGCGCTAACTTTCTGATACACTCATACCTCCGCCATCTCTATCGCCGCAACTCTCACACTCACCAAAACTCAAACTCTCGACCTGTTCGTGCAAATGTTGCCTCCTCGCTCCTCTCGAACATCGATCACAACTTCAAACTTTAATGCACAGATTGCCAGACAGGGTGCTGAACAACACTGACACCTCTTTTTCTTCGCGTATTATCCTTCTTCTCTTCCTTCCTTTTCACAATGGTAGCTCACAGAAAAGGAAACGAAAAAGTTGGCTTCTTCCACCAATTGACAGTACAGATGTAGTGAACGACACCGACCCCTCTTCTGGACTTTTAAACGCCTTTGGATGATGCCGCGTCTTATCCGCCGCTTCCTCCTCTTACGATGGTAGCTCACAAAAAATAGAAAGGGTAGCTCGTCCACCGGTTGCCCAACCGGATGCATTAAACGATGATACCGACACCTCTTCTAGACTCTCATGCCTTTTTTGATGCTTTCGCTTTTTATACACATTCTCCTCTCACGATGGTAGGTCACAGAAAAATGAAATGTTTGGCTCGTTCGCCGATGGTTAGACAGGAGGATGCCGCGAACGACACCGAAAATTCTTCTGGACTAATGAGACTTTTGAATGCCTTTTAAAATTACGGCACTTTCGTTTTCAAACAAAACTAAAGCTTCTTTTACACTCCGAATTCAATGTATTTAAATGAACCGGCCAAAAAAAAAAAATAAAAAAAAATTATGCCGCCTCTCGGGATCGAACCGAGTACCTTAAGATCTTCAGTCTTACGCTCTCCCAGGTGAGCTAAGGCGGCTATATTTTCTTCTGTTAAGTACGCTAATATGAACATAGTTGTCGTCGCGTACTAATTACTCAACTTGTGTAATGGAACCTTGCGTAGTAGAGGCCGTCCTTTCTTTGCCTGCGCCTGCTTTTCGTATCCAGATGGTTCTCTTTGAGTTGCAAAGCTGGAAAAAGCGTTTGCGCGAAGAAAAAAGTTGAGAGAAACTAGTGAGGTTTTGTTTGTTCCTCTTGCTCGTTGCAGAATGTTAATGCGCATGAAGACAGTGAAGTGTTGTTTGGAAGTTTCTGCTGACTTTAAAAAGTGGGAGCTAGCGTATTCTTTTCGAATGGTCGATGTTGAATAGTGTTGCTGCTTGATTCAACCTATAAGGGATCGCCAAAGAAGCTGATGACTATCAAAGTCTCCTCCTCAAAAACATTAGTCCAAATACTGAAGTAATCTTGAATGAAGTAAATAGCAGATCTATTTGTCTATTCGTCTCTCTAATAGCCATTTCTCGAGAATGCCGAGATCAGAAATCTACAGAATGATAATCTCCATCGACGGATCATACACCCTAATGCCCAAATCTGTCAGCACCCGTATCAAAAGCCCACAAGCAATGATCCCAGCCGGTACCAAGTACCCATTCCCCAAGATAGCTTCCAAATAGTACATTATTTAGTGACACAGTCACAAACGGGGCAAGCGGGCTGGGGATTACCTGAAAGCGCTTCCAGGTTTGACGTCAAAACCAACAAGTTCACCAACCATGAGTACTCGAGCTCGTTATAGTCCCATATTACCATCGCAATAAGAAGTAGTTTGCCGAAAGAGGAGAGGACGAGGGCCATGGATATTTTGTTGTATCTATATCCCGATTAATAATGAGCGGGTGAGCAGTTAATAACGCGACCAACAAACTCAACTACTCACTGAACAATGTT